CCCCCTCACCTGCTGTCACAAGGTCTCACCACTTTACAGCCTTGGTGCATAAAGCTTCTATTTATATTTCATCAGGATAACAACATTAAGGTACCTTTTCCTATGGTGTTATGCATAAATGGCTGACCATGCCTCTGGTACCACGGCAGCAAGAAAGGCAGATGTCCAGAATCTTACACGTTGCAAGTGAGGACAAACACAGTGGCTTGCCAGGGAAAAAACAGAAAAATGAACAGTTTTCTAAATAAATAACAGTCAGGGGCAGGGATGGAGGGTGACAAATCCATGCCATCAGGACAAAACAGGGTGGATTGTGCTGGGAGACCAGGAAAAAAATGAAAATTGTAGATGGTGTAAATACTTGCCCACAGAATGAAAGGAGAGACCGGCCAGGTCATCTGCAGAAGTTATTCCAATCACTCTCTGTGCCTGCAGAAAAGAAATGAAGAAGAGGGAAGAATATAAGCACTCCATTTTCATGTTGGGTTTTTTGGTACATTTGGCTGATGCTTAATATTATCTTGTATTTATTTTTTTCCTCTGAATATAAATACATTGCCTATGGATATATCAGAAATACACAATAATGAAACTATGATTTATTTACCCACTGGGGGAACACTAATGAGTGTTGTAGTAACGAAAACAGCTTCACTGGCTTGTAAAATGCAAAACAGCAGGGAACTCGCTGGAGACCCCACAAGCATATGTCAATAAGCTTACATTATTCACAAGTACACCAGTTTCCCAGCCTCCCCTCATTTCCTGACTGCTCCTGACTGCCTCACGTTTTGAGCAAAGTCAAAGACTAATTTTCTATCTTCCTCAAGCCTCCAAAGTTCTTGCGGAAGCCAAATGATCATGCAAAAATTTTTCCATTCAGATGCAAACTGAGTATGTTATTGGCTAGTACTTCATATTATCCAATCTACAAGTGCAATAGCAATACAGGACAATTGTATCCATGACCATAAACATCTGAACATGAATAAATTTTTAGCAGAGTGCTCTAGCAATGCACTCAGACACAACACTGACACAGTAGGCTCTCATTCATAATGTTGTTTTCTATTTCCCTTTGCATCAATCCCGACAATACTAACATCTGTAGCAATCACTGACCAGTCTCATTTCAACCTCTCCAGTGTACATTGCCAAGCTCTGCAGTGTGTTAAGAGTTAAACAGAAGGTGCTAATCCCCACCAGCCAAAATTCAGATCAAAGTGTTAGGACTTTAACAGAAAAAACCCCCAACATTAGAATACAAGTCCAGTTATTTGCTGTCATAACAAGATTGTGATGACTGTATTTCATGTCCCCCTTCATTATAAATCCATTTGGCATCCTTTCCAATAGCCAGCCTACCCTCAGAAAAAAATTATTTGATGTTCCTGTGGATGTCATATGTGCCCTGTACTTTTACAGCACTTCTATTGTAATTCAACATTAATTATCTTTCCAATTAATGTACTGCATAATGCTGCAATATGAAATGCTCTCACTTTGTAAATGAGAAAATTGAGCTCAGTTCTGTCTGCTTTGATCCTATTTCACTTCTATTATAATTCAGTACCAGAATTCTTTTCCTTTTTGGTTGGATTGTTGACACCCTGAACACACACAAGGGAGCCATCTCTTGCATACAAAAGATATATTTATGCTTCTCTTTTCTGATAAGACCTCCAATTTCTCTTTTTCAATATCATTTTAATATACTTTCCTGCCTTATGATTGTTACTGAACAGCTCATAAGGGAAATGGAGGTGACAAAAGTACTAATAGGGCAGCATTTACCAGTTACCATAAATGTAGACATCATAAATACCTACAACTGCTGGAAAATAGTAAGGGTGAAACAGGTCACAAATACAGCAAAAATGAAATCAAAACTGTGGTCAGGGAGTGAAAAACCCTTTTCCTTAGAAGGTGAATGATCCAACATATTCCCTAAGTGATGTGTGTCAAAAATACAACTTAAAAGTTTTACTGCTGAGTACTGTAGTAAGTATAAAAGGGAAAACATATTTAAAGTATAAAAAATAGAAATGGAAAATATATATCCAAAATTGCTCCCTTCATGTATGGCTGAAAGAATATACGGCTGGTGATTTTACACAATGAGGAGTTTAATTTTTCTGCTGGGTTTGAATCTTTTGTTTAGTTTAGCTGCTGTCGATAGCGGCAATCAATGTGGGCTACTGGATCTGACCTTCAATGCCACTATCTCAAAGCACTGCACAGTGCTTTTTCATCCTGAATGTGCTTATGTGCTTGAGGAGGGTACAATTCTCCCTTTCTCTGGTGACATTATGTCTAGTTTTCTTCCCTGTTACCCCATCACTCATTTTTACCAGAACCTACAACACACAGAAAGCTGCCAAACAATCCATCGCCCCTCACACTTACTAGTCTTATACTCGATGTTATTTAATGCTCATTGTTAGCTGGCAATTACTGAGTATGCAAATACATTCTGAGAGGAATGTGCAGATCAGACTGAAGGAATTTAATACGTCACCTATAAAATATTTTGTCAGATAGCTAAACAACCTCAGCTTAAATAACCTTGCTGGTCAAAAGGTGTGAAAATTTAAGAGTAGCCTATTTGGCATCTTGAGATAGGATTTCCTCTTGAACTGCCCTGGAATACTTCATTGTAATCTTAAACTGAGAAATACGGCGTTTTAAGTGGACAGGTGGCTATTAGTGATCTATCAGTATTTCAGGCAACCTACTGTAATAGGGAGTAGTGCTCCTGTTTCAACATTATCCTCAACCAATGCCTTTTGAACTTCCTTTTATTAATTGCTTAGCAATGATCTTGACCTGCTGCTGCAGCAGGTACAGCTGAGGCGAATACTCAAGGAATGCTGCTCCTTTTTCCAGTGCCTATGTAAAGCTTAAAGGGAACCTCGGATTTGTTTGAGATAGCATTAGCGACCTGAAGCTTCCATTTGTTTGGTATTAACTGACTTCATTCCGATACGGTGTGGTTTTATGTGTTTTATTTTGCTTTTCGACCCTCACTGGTACCCCAGTTTTGATTTACTTATTTTAAATGGCCATTATTACAGCTGTTAATTTTGAAAGAAAATTCGTGTCTGCATTGATCCTTTCTTCCCACCACATGAATGCCAGTCTTTGGGACACTGACATCTTAGCTAGTCAACCTAAAGTACCAACAGCTGGAGGGTTTTTGCACTATCGGTGAGCTGTATGCAGTTTTCATTGCTACAGCAAACACAGCTAGAACAGGAGAAGAAAATTAAAGGGGAATATGCCAGGAAGGACTAACAAACAAGATTTTGTGGAGACCTGACTATAAAATGACAAGATGTTCCTAACTCTGCACTGAGGTTAACCTGTCTTAATCACTCCCCTGTCACTGGCAGACTTTTAGAAAAGGATTCTCATTAGCACTGAATGACTGGGAGTTTGTTGCGTTTACCAGCAGTGAACAAATTGTGCAGCAGCAGGTCTCACAGAGTCCATCTGTGTCAAGGCCTCAAGTAACACAATGCTTGAGTTTTCAGCCTGGCTAAGGTACATGCTTTATCCAACATATCTGTAACAAACACTCCCTCTGCCAAGTAATTTACCACACTTAAGCCAATTCTTTCTCAGACAAAAGGTGACAAACTATGAGGAGGAAGACTTTAACGTCCCCTACTGGCTAAATTAGCAACTGTGTGCCCATTACCTGCATATTCCTTCTCTGAGTACTTTTTCCCTTTTATTCCTTGTCTTCGGAGACAAAGAAATGCCTCTGGTAGGGAAAACAACCAGCAGACAAAGATGTGTTTAATCAGCCTCCCAAGGGAAAACTGCAGCCTAAAAAGTCAGCCCTTTATGAGACTATTCAATGTTCAACCATCTTGTGCACACTGGTCTTCTGGCTCCACCAAAGGAGAGTCATTCTGTTCTCGAGAGCAGCACTTCAAAGTTCCCAGATGTCCAGAAAAACATCCTGGCTCTGAGATGACATGTAATACTGTTAGGCATAACGTAACCCAGGCAAACCCAGACAGCCCAGGCAAAGGCTCCATTTCCAGAAATAGCACACTTCCTTCTCTCATGTCTAAGAAGTCCCTTCTTCCAAACAAGTCAACCAGATGGTTACCACCCCCCTGCCCTGATGCCATAAAGAAGTGACTTCCTCCCAGTCCTGCTCAGCCAGGAGCTGCTTCATGTGCTTTCTCAACATTCAAAGCAGGGTGGGTGCTCAGGAGTCCTGACAATCATGTGGACAAAACCTGGTATTCTCAACATGTGTTTCCAATTTCCACCATGGGTAACCCTGTGTTGAGGTTAAGCAACAAAGCAAGCCACCACCAGGAGGGGGACTCAACCTCCATGAGCCAGTTCTGTCCAAGGGAATTCCTTCAATTGCTCAGGATGAGATCTCACACTACCAAAAGGAAAGAAAAATACTATCACGGAAAGGGGAAGAAAATTTCCACTACTGAGTTCCTCTACTTTTTTTCACGTGTTCACCAGCACACAGAAAGTGGCAAAAGACAACTACAACAAGACCTTTTGAAATTTCATTTTACACTATGAACTTAGAATTTAAAATCATATATGAATACTATGAACTTAGAAATTAAGGATCAAAATGACACTTCATGGATGTTTTTTTAAAATCTCACGGAAAATCACTTCCAACATACTGAATACATTTCCTGTGATTTCAGCAGGCTTAACTACCGCATATATATTCCACATAGGATTCTACCATGTAACATGAAAGCATAGCTAAAAATCAGTGTTAAAAAACAAGTGAGGCCAAAGAACTACAGGTCATTTAAGAGAATCCAGTGAAGTCAATGATACTAAACGCACGAGCAAGGATTGCTTGTGTAAGTTAAGGCAGCAGAAACAGGTTTGCAAACTGCATGGATTTTCAAAATTTTTAAATCAGATATTGTCCTGGTTTCTGTTTTATTTCATAAAAGGGAGTGAAAATCAGCCTGGACATGGGTTTTTTCTCTGAAGGAGGTTCAGGCCTTGCAGTAGACATCATATTTTAATTTCGCTCCCAGCTTAGTTCCTTCTAAGCACACTTTGAATTTGGCATCCATTTCCTGGTTCTGAGCTTCAGTGAAAAGATTTTTCCAGTCTCCAACAACACCTGGAGTATAAAGAAAAGTAAAATATTACCCTTGACTGTAAGGACCAAGGAGTATAATTTAAAACAAAAAAACCTACCTTGTCTCTCTTATTATCATATTTCAGAATAATAATTTTTTATTTATTCATTTATTTTTTCCCCTTCAAGAAAAAAGAATCTCTGGCCCAAGAATACACTCTTATGTTTGCCTTATGTTTGGTGTTTTAACAGAATGTGAACATAAAGCGAACATAGGAAGCTACTGGTCTGCCTTCATAGCTGTGGCATGTGTCTTGTACAGCTGCAGAAGACTATAAAAGGTGACTAGCCGTTGTAAAACCAACCCAGAAAGTTCAAAAATGAGGCTTTTAACTGCAAGCGCTTTGTGCACTGCAATCAGACACTGCCCTAAGCTGCAGTCTACCTTTAATCTAGATTTTGGAGAGTCCACAGTCTGGGGTTGTCTGAGTCTGCAGCTCTAGCTTGATCCATGGCTAAAAGACACAGCTCAGTCTGTGGAGTGTCTGGATTCCATGTGTTGACCGAGGTTCTTAGGCAATCACAAGGGTTATTTAGAAAACCCAAGAAGGAAAATCTGCGGAGGTACTCTGTAGACCAAGTGCCAGGCTATCCCCACTACTCACAGAAGCCAAAATAAAACTCTTTGTGGTTTTAATTGGTGCTCACTGCATACCACAACTGAAGGGTGTGCTAATCGTAGGGCACTTCTGCTAATTGCATTATACAGGGCTTTACCAAATGGTACTGGCCCTTGAGATGAAATCAAGTGACGGTGTCCTGAAGCACAACCAGTGTTTCTTAAACAACTCCCAACCTTGAAAATTATACAGGAAGATGAACCATCTACTGATCCAAATTCCTGTCTGCCCAAGATGCAGTGCTACCATTCACCACCCTGGCAAAATACAAACCAATTTACCTTTGCGGAAAAGAGTTGAGCCAACAGCACCATGAGTCTCCTGAGCCTTGTCTTTCACTGCCTGGAAAGTGGCCCTGTCTGCAATGGACTGGATCTGCTCTGCCGTTAGGGAGAATCCAAAGAATTCAGCTATCTGCTTTACACTGGCAGTCAGGTTCTGAAAGCAATACAGTGAAAGGGAGTCATGCAATACGCTTCCTCTGAAAAAGCAGTTGCCCACTTGGGATGTGCATTGCCATCTTCTATTAACAATATATTTTTTTCTTCACTGTATGTTTTCTGCATTACACTGGAGCTCAACTTTTCTATAGGCAGATTCAACTTGTCACTAAAATCAACTTGATTTTGCTCTTTCAGAAACCTATGCCTTTTGCTGTTCACTTCAGCAGATTTGTTTTGCCTTGCTCAGATGTGTTTTGCCTGTCAGTACACAGCATCTGCTTTACCTCATTCAGGTCTTCATATGTTATGATCATAATATTCTCATCCTCAATGTGTTTGTTCCAGGTGACTGCATGATCAAAATAGGATCCCCAGCCAACTGTAATGAAGAGAAAAAACCATCAATATGACCTTCTTTTTCTTACTGGGTACTTATTTTTCTCTGACTGAAGAATTGCCTTCTGTTGCTTATCGGTTACATCAATGCCAGCAAACAGAACAGCCTGTGCCTTTCTGTACAACAGAACAACAGAGACTTCCTCTGGACTTTGGTAGGTAAATGGTTTCCACACAGAAATATGAATTTCACTATGTGCTTCCCCTCTGTTACTATATTGTTATTTAAACATCTCTTAAAATCCAAAGGCAGACATCAGTCTAATCTAAAATTTGGGTTGGTAATTAGGTGTTTGGCCTCATGCAAAAACAGTAAAGACAACAAACTGCCATTTCACTACCGCTTCAGACCTGTAGCTCTTCCTCCACCACTAAGTGGCAGAACGTTGACCCAATGCTATTGTCAAGCTGCCATGCAACTCCCTCACCCTCGCTTGGAAAAGCAAAATACCCTGAAGCAAAGAATCTTTTGGATATTCTCCCCATTCTGGCATTCAGCTGCCTTCTTTATCATGATGTACAGCCATCAGTAAACTAATTATGGCACAGCTGTTTTCCCACTGGCCCCATTTAGTTGTTTTTAAATATTTTTTTTTCTGTTGCTTCTTCAGCTACATTCAGTAACTATAAAAATACCTTTCCCATTCATGAACTCCGAGAAGAACTCATCCCAGGAGCTGTAACTGGGGACGCTTGGCACATTGTTGTGGAAATGGAAAAATGAAACAGCTGTATCTTTAGGGTTTCGAAACAGTACTAGTATCTGGAGTGGGAGAAAGAAGTCAACAATTTTATATCACTTATTTCCCCTGGCAACCAAAATGAGAGTATAACCAAACATTCTGCAATCAATAACATACTGGGGGCTATAAAATATTTTATTAGTTAAGGCATGGAGAACAAACTTATAATGTGATCATAATAAAGACCTTGTTACCACTTCTAAGATTTGCTTATGTCATGAAGCAATTGTAGAAAGAAACAACTGGAAAAACTGTAGTACTGTCATTGAATACTATCCCATAACTACTTAAGACCTGGGAAATTGCAAGGAACCATTTGCTGACCCCCTGACAGGAAAAGCTCTGTTCAATTCTCCTTCAGGAAACTGCAACTGTTACAATCATCTCCCATTTTTCAAAGCATGGCAATAAAGTTATTGAAATTCAAAGAGAATGAAATCCTCAGAGAAGTGTACACACTTCTGAAAACACGTTATACACATTAAATTTTTGTTATACATGTTATATGTTTTTTCCTGTCTCATACAGGAAAAAATACCAATGAAACATAGAAAAAAATCCCCATCCCTTAACCAATTATTTCCTTCATCTGTGGTACATTTCCTAAGTGCTATGTATCCACCATTGTTCAGTGACCAAGAACCAGAAATATCAAAGTTTTAACAGTGTGACTCTTTGCAAGGAGACAGTCAATGTCCCAGAGATACTGTTGTCACATTCATTCCCACCACAGTCATGCATGGAAAAGAATAGTAAAGAGTGACGCTCCAGCCATTTCTGAGCACTGCAACAACCTCTAGATCTCTGCTCGCTTATGTCAACTACAGCACCCCTAAGGCTACTGTAAATTGTAGGGGGTGCAAAGCCAGCCCAGGCATCATGAGAGCCAAACTATCTCCAAGTTGCTTTACCCCAGTGCCACCTGCTTGGGTGCAACAAAAGGATGTGGCCCCAAAATTACTCTCGCATGCTGGTACTGTCAGAGAGATGAAGCTTGTATTTGAAAAAGAAAAAAGCCCACCTTGGCTTTGTTCTTGAAAATAGACTTGGGAAGGCAATCATAATTCAGATGTGTTGCCAAAATCCTCGGAGATGGAATCTGTTTCATCCTCTTTAGAAATAAACAGAACCATAAGTGAGAACAGGTTTATTACATGGGTGCAGCAATGATCTTTAAGAATCGCCTGTGTGAAACAGCCCTTAATCAAAAGGCATTAGTCATCCAAGATTATCTTTTTTCCCCTCTCAGGAGAAATATCTTTACTTGCTGCATGACTTCATTTTAATAACTTGTGTGCGGGGGTGCAAGAGAGAGAAAACAATAGACTTTAAGTGGTTCAGTAGTTTCTTTTCACTAACCTGATATTTATCTGGATCTCCACATTCAATAAATGGTAGTTCTGTGCTTACAGGTTTACTCTGGATAGTTGTAAATATCAAATCACTTAAAATCTGGATAAGCCAGTTCACACCTGCACCAAGAAACCCAGAGAACAAAATAAAACAAATCAGAGGTTTACATAAGATCTCAGAGCCTTCTCATTACATGGCTTAACTTAGCATAATAGACAGTCATCAACTAACACTAAAGTTCTCAAATTGTTATAAACAAAATAATGTTTTCCATTTGTGAGATCCTCAACAGCTTCTTAACTCTGTGACCTTCTTGGCTCACTTCTAACTGGGATGTGGAAAGCACTGGGGGCAGAACTGACTCAATGATGCACTTACCGTCTTTTTAATATATTCATAAAACAGGCAGTGACAGGCAATAAAGGAAGATTTCCTGGCTTTTACAGAGAATCACCTGGGAAGGGTCTGGATAGGAGACGGAAGGAACGAGCAAGGAGTTTTGCTCATTCTGCCAAGGAAACCATTGCCTCTCTAATGCCCTGGGTCGAGGACGAAATAGAGTCATCTATTCAATGTCATTGCCAGTGCTTGTGCTCAGTTGCGCCTGTTGTTGTCTCCATGAAGTGCCTGCCAGAGCAAGTGCTAGAACAGCTCTTACCCACTGGACACCTGCATCCCTCCCCACTCCTCACCCTTTGAGAGGGATGTTGCAGCAAAGCCTCCCCCATACTGCATCCCATTCCAGCGTGAGCCTGTGGCCAGCTCCTGGAGCTTCCCCAGAGTTTCCAGGAATCACATTTGCTCTGCTGATGCTCTGCCGATTGCCAGCAGGACTGAGCAAGAACAGCGTGTTCACCTTGGCCTGCAGCACCCTCCCCGCGTCCCTGTGGGGAGGCACTTTGAAGGCTTCCCACCAGGCCCACAGAGATGGAGCTGCGGAGCTGCTGACGCCTCCTTGAATGCTGTGAGTCCCCTGTGAACACAGCTGCCAGAGGCACTAACAGAGAACACGCAATGCAAACAGCTTTAACCTCTCATGTTTTCAGTGCAAAGTTATTCCCAGAAAGGAGTAACTTCCACCCTATGTTATATAAAGTGCCTCAGGATGCTTGGATGGAAGCAGCTGACACATGTCATTCATACAGTAATGTGAATACAATGTGTGCACATCATCTTATAATGCAAATATTACATTTATACACCACCCAATATCATATTTATATATGACATTGTATGATGTATATCATTTATATCATTCTCCCATTTATGTACCGACCAGAGCCAAAAGCATTAAGAGTCTCCAAATCTACATCCTCATCTGCCCAGTATTAACTACATGGGCACAAATACAAATTTTATTTTAACAAAAAGCTACAACTGATAAACCTAAAATTCCTAGTTTCTAAATCCCCTACTGGCTTTTCAACCATGTGACCCATCTCTGGAGCTCCATTGTCCTTTACCCCTACCTCATATAGAGCTCTCTGCATCAGTTTTTCTCTCCACTGCACACACCTGAGCTGGGGGAAGCCTTTCACATGGGGAGACTTTACTGCAACTTAACCTTCATAATACCTAATAAGTAAAAGGAGTAGGGACAATATTAAAGCTTTGAGAGACAAAGGTCTTCAAGGGCCTCAGTGTGAGTCTTTCATCAGGCATGTTCATGACCATCTAAACCTGGCAAATGCCTAAGAGTTTGAGCCCTACATAGAAAGCACCTGAGAAGCTGGCAGAGGAAGCCAGACACCAGGCTGCCTTGGTTCAAGAAGGAAAGAGGCCTGGAGAGAGATTTTTATTACTGTCTGGTGACATTATGGCTTGGTGGGTCCAAGTGTCACATCAAGGGGCAAGAGGGAGCCCAGCAATTTCTGGTTTCAAACTGGGTCAGATAACCTTTCCTTTTCATTCTTTAACCTCCTCTCTTGCCTTTTTCCCTCCTACTTTGCAAGCTATAGGAAATTAGGACAAGAAATCTATTTAGCACTGTTTAAGAGTGTAAGAGAAAACATCCAGATGGGAGAAAATTCAAGATTTACCTGCAGATTGTAACTACACTGTACAAGCACAGCATTTTCTCTCCCTCCTGCTTTCCCATTTCTTCTGCACAACCTCCCGTACATGCCTTTCCAGCAGTGCCTGCCAGGTAACAGGGTGCTGCACTCCCCAGCAAAACACAGGGAGCTGTGAACTTGCTCTGCCACTGAGCAACTGGCAGTGGTCTTTGGTAAAATTTCCCCCTGCTGCCCTACCACAAACTGCCTGATATTAACAGTGTGAGATCTCTTTCTTTATCTGCTGATCCCTCTCCCTGAGCAGAAGAGGTTTACCGAGTTACTAAACCTCAGATGACTCCATGTCTGAAGTCTTCCAAACTCTGTGAGAAATCAAAGCCAGTGCCAAGTTACGGCAATGACCTTTTAGGCCTTTGGAGGGTCCAGCACAACTCTGGACCCAAACCCAACGGAATTACAAGCTCCTTAAAATAAAGATGCACATTGTACATTTTGTGACAGCTCCTTCCTTTTGTATTTGCCCTCTTTCAGGGTTCTGTCTCACAGCTGCTATAAATTCACCCTAAATACTACAGGCATACTTCCTAAGCCCCTAAATACACCACAGTTTCTTTCCAGATCAGAACTTGCCCACCAACGGGAATTCTATGTGCTGAATGAGAGCTTAACCTAGGACTCTCTGGTTAGAGCCCAACTCGACCACACCTGCTACCATGCTACTGCAATGAAATCCTTCCCTGGACACACATCTCCACCGGCAACCCTAAGCTTCTGCTGCCTGGGTCTCAAAGAAGAAACATATGTTTGGACAGAATTTCCTAGATTAGCAAAACCCATGCTTTCCTAGTAAGCAACCATGTCACAACTGACATTTAATAAAACTGATCAAAATCAACTAGTTGGTTGTTTGGGTTTTTTTCATTGCTCCTGTTGCACTTTTCCTTCTTTCTGCAAACCTCTGACTAAAAGATTTAGACTTTCAGGATGTCAATACCATTTTGCAGTAACAAAACAAAAGCCAATGCTGATACTAAAAAAATGCCAAGAAACAGCTTATAATTTCGCAAGTAAAGATGCTGTGCCATGTCACTTTCTACACCTTTGTCTAATGCATAACTTTATTGCTTTTGCACACTACACTACATTACTAACATGCTTTTCAGAATACAGTTTTTCATACTGGCAGAGTTCTTGTCCCACTGATATATAAAACAATGTGTACTTTATTCTTACTTCTTCAGCCAAATATCTTTGAACACTAAAACTTCTTTTCTTTTCAGAAACACAAACCATATTAAAAAGCAGCACAACAGACTGCATAATTAAAACAAAGCAGGGCAAAAACCTGCTGCCTCCGGTTGCAGGAGAAATGCCCGATATGCTCACACAACATACAACCACAATCAATTGGTTTTCCTTCTTACTGTGTCAGCTAATTACAGTATTGTACACTACAGCAAGCAATTTATAATGTATTCACCACATTTGGGGTAGGACACCAGCACCATATCATCTCTTCTGGCTTCCAGCTTCTCCAGGGCTTGGAACGTTTCCGCACTGCACACTGTGACAGGATACAGGGTCCCCCCATAGGAGAACAGCAGATCCTTCAAGGTAAGCCCTTCAGACTTTGCCAAGGCTTTATTTATCTCATCAACAAAGGCTTTTTTATCCTCAGCCATGTTTACCACCTTTGGGGTGTGAAGCTGTTAGTCTAATGCAGTAAGTGCCTTTAAATAGATGTTTCTAAGTGGTGGAGTAGAAATCCTTTGCATTACTTCTGCCCTCCCTCAAATTTGATACGTTTCTTTCTCTCCTCCCTTCCCACCTTTCTGGAAAAGGAAGTTGGGTTGATCCTGTCCACTTATAATCTACAGAGCAGGAACTACTTTAGTAAGAAATCCCACTGAGGGCAAGTAATACTTGCAAGCTCAGCCACTAGGAAAGATAATTGGAAAATGAATCACCCTGTAAGAATGAGCAACAAAATATTATGTCTAATCTTACATAACAATAGGAAAAAAAGCATCACATAGAATTGAAAGTCCCTAATAAGAAAAATCCCAAGAGGTTTTATTTCAGAAATAAAGTCAGCTCTCTACTATGAGTTGAGAGAAATACATAGTGAGTCATAGAAAACAACAAAATCAAAACCATAAAACAGAACAATACCAAGAGGGAAGGGATGCTGACATTTTATGTTCTAAATACCCCCTGTGAGAGGTAGGCTGCACTGATGCCTTTTATCATGTTAAAAAGACAAATACTGAGATCTTGCATAGCACAGGTTTTGTCAGCATCCTCATGATAGAGCTAGGATCTGTTTTTAACAGCCATAAGCCTTACGTATCCAGCAGTTTTCCTCTAGCGGGAATACAGACCGACCAGTTCTGGCTGCCAGGAGGAACAGAGGAGCCCTTCCACCAGTTGAGGCAGAACAGCAGCACTGAAGCGCAGGCCTGCTCCCTCGCCTGACAGCGGGCACCTGCTCAAGAGCCTCAACACCGGGCAGCAAGGCCTGGCCTGGCCTCTTAGCCGTGCTGGGCACACATGCTGCCAGCTCACAGCTGAAATGGTGAGGCGAGGACAGTGGGTCCCTCTGGGCAGCAGGGAAAGGTGGTGAGTCGGACCTGCTGCCAGCAACCCGAGCGAGCCACCGAGGGAGAGGCAGCGGCCAAGGACTGCCACCTGCACCCTACACCATCACTGTGCTAAGTAACGGCCCTCTCTAGGCCGGCCCAGGCAGCAGCGGAGCGGGGGGGAAGCTGCGGGGTGCCGAGA